AATTACTTAATAAATTGAAATTTATGAACAATTAGTATCTATAAATACTTAATATTTATTTATAACTAATAGTTAATATTTATTAATAATTAATATTATTCGGTTATTTAATTGAAAAAAAGTGTCAAAAAAACTCCTTATAAACTACTCCATGTAGCCTATTGATAAACTACTAGATAGAGCGGTCAACAATAGTGAATGACTTTCTATTTTTTCGGAGTACTCGATCTCAAATTCCCATGCTCCTATCTCGGATCACTCGCCAATTTTCCTTCAAACTAAGGTACAAACTCCTCCGAGTTTCGCTATGTTTTTCACTTTGAAAATAAATGGCTGCAGGCACCTTCTTTTGATGAATTATTCCATGGCTTTTGTTCAAATTAATCACGTTTAAACTTTCGGAGAAACTCAAAGTCGTGGCAAATCGATTGTCTTCTTGGGCCGGGACTCTCAACGCTTCCTTCTGGGAGGACCTTAAAGCTTGCAAAAGTAGTCTTGAAGAACTCCAACACAACTCTTCTCTGGCCAATTCTGAAGCATATGAGACCGAGCGTTCGAGACTACTACTTTACTCTTAAAAGAGGAGGAGCATTGGCGACAACGGTCAAAGGTGTTTTTGGTTAAAAGAAGGGATTCTAATATGAAGTTTTTTTCCACGCCTATGCTAACGGACGTCGAGAAACAAACCGGATTGTCAAACTCCGAGATGAGAATGATCACTAAATCTCTTATGGGGATGGGCTTTGCATTGTGGCTACTAAGCATGGTAGACTGTTTCACACACCTTTAGACAAATGAAATAAACCACAAAGCAAGGATACAACATGATTCAATATCGTCTTTCCAAATAATAAAGTGATAAAATACCGGTTTATCGTCCACGGAGATTGTAACAAAAGTCTAATGAAAGAGATGATTTCAGATGATGAATTTGAAGACTTTGATTTGTTACTGAGTTAATTAAATGAAAATAACAGAATAAACCAAGGTAGCATGGGTGTAAGACTTGTGGTGAGACTCAAACACGAATTCCAAATGTTGTAGGGATGCTACAACCAACAATTATTCATAACTTAGTTTCATCATCTATTTTGAAGGTATTCCTCTCGAACTTTCACCATTGCACTATATTATAGTTTTCAACCCATATCTTTATGTAGTATCCGGACCACGGACAATGATGAATGGCGTCATTAAAATATATTGATAAACAAATCTCTTTGTTAAAATTCATTCTCTTGAGTCGTTTCCCATATCATTCAACTTGATCGGGGCCGTTTTCACATACCCACAGACTTACAACTAGGACCAATAGCAAATATATAATTAGTTCCAATATCGTCTTTCAAGTAATAAAGTGGTACAAGTACCGGATATCGTTCACAGGGATCGTTATAAAAGTTTAGATGAAAGTAATATTAAAGAAATGATTTCAGAGGGCGAATTTGAAGACTTTGATTCGATAAGAGTTAACACAACTAAAAATTAACATGAAATAACAGATAATAAAAGCAAGCCAGGGTGCAAGACTTAAGGTTAGATGTAAATACTATTTCCAGTAGACCAATGTTGTCAAAATGCTACAGCATGAGACTATGCTGACAAATTGCTACAACATACAATTAGTAACAACTATTTTCACAATTTATTTTGAAGGTATTCCTCTCGGACTTCACCAATGCACTGATATTATAGCTTTCAATTCATATCTCTATGAGGTATCCGAACCAGTGAAAGTGACAATTGGTGTCCTTAAAATATATGGATAAACTATAATTAAATTAACACAAGTTGGTCTTTTTTAAAAGAAATAGTAATTAACATTAATAAGGTTATAATTGAAAATAATATAAAAAACTCCTAAAATGCTATTTCAAATAATGTTTTAGTAGTCTAACTTATAAGCTAGTTTTTGTCTATTTAAATGAGACTTTTTAAAATAAGCTCAAAAAATAAATTAATTTATATTTAAACATAGCCTTAATTTCATTCGTTAAAAATGTATGTTTAATTTAATCATGTTATAATCCAAATGTATTTTTTTTTAATATTTGTGTGTGGATGCTTGGGCTAGTTTGCACATACCTCGACTAATTTCATGGAACTCTAAATTACATACCAAATGGTAGGTTTTGAAAGGACTTGAACTGATGACAAAAACAGAGTCACCGTGGCCATGTGCTAACCTGGAACTTAGAATAACATATAGACTTTACAAGAGGTGGTTTCAGTTACAAACATAGCTATTGATATAAACCGTACAAACCAAGTAATTGAGATATTTATGTAAATGATAAGAGTTCACTTATTATGATTTGAATATTTATGAAAAATTATTAAAACTCATTTATTATGATCAACGTTGTATATTAGAAAACAACCAAGATATTAAACCAAATATTTAGTAGACTAAATAGACGGTTACGATTACTTTACAGAGTTCATACTAATATAAGGGTTTGTAAGCTCCAATTTCCTGCTCCGCACACTACTGATGACTTATGGGGAGGAACCCTAAAGACCAAATGTTATTATCAATTGAGCTAACCCTTATTAAGTGCATTTTATGCCTTCATCATTTTAGTTAAATTGAATTTTCTTTTTGTCTAGTTTAGTCATTTGTATATATTTTTGTTTGAGTTTTATTTAATTTCGTTTGATGATCGTGAGGGGTACTATTTTGTTGTTTTTCTCAGGGTTTGACAAGTATTTTACATTGAAACGTGTATATGGAAAAATGATGACTTTTGGAGCATTAAATCAACATTAATTTGTTGACAAATGCAATCTTGAAATATGGAGGAGAGTTAGATGGCTAAAATACAAAAAATAAGTTTTTAAATCAAGTTCGATGAAATTTTAAAGAAATAATTCATAAAGAGAACTTTTAGAAGAAATGAAATCACGAGCGACGACGTCTATGAAAAAGAAGCAACCTTCAAAGGCCGATTTCAAAATCAGCATTTTCAAATACGAATTTTATTGGGTTTTTGGACTCTTCTTTTCCTCATTCAACAATCCTACAATCGTCGTTTTTCTTCTCTGGTCCTTTTTTTCCTATGTTTCTAAGATAACTGATTAGATAATTGATTGCTGATAAACTAATTGAAAAATATAAAATAATAAAAATTGATATGTATGAAAGTTAATAAACTTTAACATATTATAAAAACAATTTACTAATAATAAAGTATGTTAAATAATACACTATAGATGGTTAAAAAATTAAGGGAAAAGTGCAATCAAAACCAATGGACTTTCTTGTTTGGAGTGATTAAGTCCTTAGACTTTTTTTTGGAACAAATAAGTCATTGGACATTCCAAAACATGTTAAATAAGTCCTTGGACAATTTTTTGGAACAAATAAGTCCTTGGACATTCCAAANATAAAAAATGATAAATTTTAAATAGTTGATTTGATATTAACATTGATATATATTTTTTCAAATTTTTATGATATCTTTAAATTTATATTTTATTCAAAAATAAAATCATTATTGTTTTCTTAAAACACATAAAATTGTATTATAACATCGATAGAGACAAATAATAAAATAGAACATTAAAATCGAGATATGTCTCATTGCATTGCACGAGTACCCTTCTAGTATATTTTTAAGAATCCAAAATAGGTAGTGTTGAATTGTATTATTTAAAAGCATTCAATTGCAATTATTGTTTAGATTAAAGTTGGATAAATGATGATGACATTTACATTAAATATAAAACAAAAAGATAATTATACTTCAGGTTATCTGCAAAGCAGTGGTCATCTTGAGATTAGTCGGCTCACATAAGAGATTGGGTATCCAAGTTAATCAATATATATATATATATATATTATTTAGCTTAATCTTATGTATTATTAGATTTAACAACTTTAAGATATTAATATCAATAATTGTATATGACTTTATTAACAGTAAAGTGAAAATTACGAATAAACTAAGCCAATGTTGAGAGGACATTTTTCTATGTTCAATTTAGTCTAGTAATATATTTATATATCTATAATTTGATGTACACTGTATTGCGTTAATAATTGTGATAAATAAACAATATTTTATGTATAAAAAATAATTTTTTAATATTTTTTATTAAATATTTTATAATATAATATAAAAAATACTGTATTTAATATGTAAAAATTAGACATATGTGGTCTATTTTTTTCTTACGTATTTGCTTTCTCTTGCTTTCTGGCATCTGTTACTCTTTAAAATGATCTGGTTTGGTAGATGGTGATGGTGGGGTTGAAGTGAAGGCAAACCACTTGGAAAATTTTATTGATGATGGAATTGGCAACCCAGATGTGATTGCTTTTGATACCTCATTCATTCTTCTGATCTAGTTTTCTTCCATCCTCAGCAGATCTAATTCAATGGCAAATTCTATCGGGGATAATACTACCAGCTCTAATGACTCGAACATCATGGCTTCTGCTACCTGCTATGATGTCTTTCTAAGCTTCAGAGGCGAAGATACTCGTCATGCTTTTACAGATCATCTCTATGATGCATTAGGGCGAGCAGGACTTCTCACTTTTAGGGATGATGATGAAATGAAGAGAGGCCAAGAGCTAGAGCCAGAAATCAAGATGGCAATCAAAGCATCCAAGGCGTCAATAGTCGTCCTGTCTGAGAAGTATGCGACTTCTACATGGTGCCTTGAAGAGCTCTGGTTGATCCTCGAGCAGAGGAAGGAGTGCAATCATTTCGTTCTTCCGGTTTTTTACCATGTCGATCCCTCTGATATTAGGAAGCAAAATGGAAGTTTCAAGATAGAAGAAGTTGAAACATCTACAAAGTGGACTCATCATAACGTGATCCGGTGGAAGAGAGCTCTTACAAAGGTTGCTGATTTAAAAGGCTTTTCTCTTTCTGGGTATGTTTTTCTTTGTTCCTATTTATATTTCAGTGTTCACAGCAATACATTTTTATTGATGCCACTGTGATCTAATAATTGTTGGATATAGTCTTCAATAGTTGGAAACTTTGTCCCCCATAGGAAGAGGAGCTAATAGTAATATGAGAGTGGTTTATAAGTCTTATTCTATTTGGTTTATCAAATAAGTAATATTTGATAAATAGGATTTGGGCTTGATTTTCTACTTGATTTGGGTTGACATAGTAATTGTTAATGGATCAAAAGAAAGCACTAGTACGTTGCGGTGTGCAGGTTTCCCAAATCCGTTTTTTTATTTATATACAGTGCACGGGGTGGTTTCTAATCCATGTATGCGGTTTTTGAGTTTAAAATCTAAAATCTTATCCATTATGGATAAGATTTTCTAACAGTTTTTCTGTTACCCATAGTTTCTATATATATCTAACATCTTGTTAGAATTATGATTCCACTCTTTTTCTTATTTTCTCTTCTTCTCTTCTACTTCTGCAACAATATAGATGTTCATGGAGATGTATGATTTGCAGTATCATTCATCTAGATTGGGTTAATCCTGGGAATAAATTAGCCATAACCTAACAACATATAGTGGGGGGCTAATATTATTCTAAGGATAGTGATCTTAATCACATCCTAATCTATTTGTATTCCTATTTTCTGCTTTATTTTATAACAATCTTAGAATAATATTAGATATGACTTCTTTTCAAAACGCAATGAAATTACTCGGTCAAGATGGAATCAAACTTGATCGTTTTGATGGTTCGAATTTTCTGTGATGGAGAGAAGAGATACAATTCTCTCTCACCGCAATGAAGGTTGTCTACATACTTGATCCCGCACTTCCAGATTTGCCGGAGAATACCAATGATGACACCGTTGCTAAGATGGCTGAAAGGAAGAAACGAGAAGAGGATGAATTGATGTGTCGTGGATACATACTCAATTCTTTGACTGATTGTCTGTATGACTTATACACACCACTGAAATCTGAGAAAGAGTTATGGAAGGCATTGGAGCACAAATATGACACCGAAAAATAAGGGGCAGATAAGTTATTGCTTTCAAATTTTTTGAGTTTTCCATGACTGATAATATGTCTATACTTGATCAAGTTCATGAATTTTTTATCATGGTTTCCAAGTTTAAAAATCTGAACATCACCATTCCTGATCAATTGATTGTTGGTGGCATAATTGCCAAGTTGCCTTCTTCCTAGAATGATTATAGGAAGAAGTTGTTGCATACGATGGAGGACTTCACTTTGGAGCAAATTCAGAAACACTTACGGATAGAATGTTGCATCTAGTTCAAAAGTGCACTATGTGAACCAAAGGAAGCCAAAGAATAAAAAGAGGAAGGCAAATTATGATACCAGCACTCCCAATTTCAACAAAAAGAGGAAAAGGGTTTGTCTGAGATAACTTGTCACAAGTGTGGAAGAAAGGGTCACATAAGACGCTTCTATCGATTTCCAAAGAAGGAACAAAATTGGGTGAAGAAGGGGAATGAAGAGCATGAGAAGGGGAATGAAGAGCATGATAAGGACAATGAGAGAGCAAGCGGAAAGGCAAATGTTGTTGAAGAAAAAGACTACAACGTAATCATTGCTATGGTTTCGGATCTTCACATTGGAATGATACAAGAGACACATATGGCGGCTATTGTTACAAGTGATGATTGGTGGTACGATTCTGGTGCTACCGCTCATGTTTGTAACAATCGTTCTTTCTTCAAAGACTATGTGGAAACCATGGATGGACATGAAGTTCTTATGGGAGATCTTCACACTTCGAAGGTGCAAGGAACCAGAAATATAGAACTGAATTTCACTTCCGGAAAGAAACTTGTGCTTACTAATGTTTTGTATATTCCGAACATTAGGAAGAATCTCATTTCTGGATATATTTTATGTAAGAAAGGTTTGAAGGCTGTGATAGAATCGGACAAAGTGATTCTATCCAAAGCCGGGGTATTTGTTGGAAAGGGTTATGCTTGTGATGGGATGTTTAAGTTTAGTATCAATAAAATATCTAGTTCTGACTATTTTGATGTGTCATATTTTAATGTTAACTTTAATGTTGAATGTTCAAATTTTGATGTTTGGCATAATATGTTGTCACATGTAAATTATCAAACCATGAAGTTTAGCATAATATGTTGTCACATGTAAATTATCAAACCATGAAGTTTATGTGTAAGAGTGGTTTAATCTCATATAACAATGAACACAAAGATAAATGTGAGATTTGCGTGCAAGCTTAGATGAAACGAAAACCATTTCCAAAGATAGAACGGAATTCCGAAATTTTAGAACTTGTACATTCTGATATTTGTGAGCTAAATGGTCTTATTACTAGGGGTGGTTGTAGATATTTTATTACCTTTATTGATGATCGTTCTAGATTTACATATGTATATTTGATGAAATCTAAAGACCACGCTTTTGATATGTTTCAAATTTATAGATCTATGGTTGAAACACAAAAGGGAAAGAAATTAAAGATTTTACATAGTGATAGAGGTGGGGAATATTTTCCTACTAATTTCACTAGTTTTTGTGAGTCATGGACTAATACACCAAGTTAATGCTCCATATAGACCTCAACAAAATGGTGTGGCAGAAAGGAAAAATGGAGTTTTGGTCGACATGGTAAATGTTATGTTAGTAAACTCGAATCTGCCACTAAATTTATGGGGTGAGGCTTTGTTAACCGTGTGTCATGTACATAATAGAGTTCCTTCAAAGAAACTGAAACAATCTCCATATGAAATATGGAGAGGAAGAAAGCCGAATTTAAGTTATCTTAGAGTTTGGGGATGTCTTGCATATTATAAAGTTCCTGATCCTAAGAAAACTAAATTGGGTCCTAGAAATTTGAAGAGTGTTTTTGTGGGATATGCTGAAAATTCTAACACATATAGACTTTTGGATTTGGACTCAAATGTTATAGTTGAATCTCAAGATGTTGAATTTTTTGAATTTAAGTTTAAACATGATTCTACACATCTTGATGAACATAGTTCAACTCCACTTCGAGATACATTGATTGACTCATCTATTAGTCATAAAAGAAATTTACCTGAAATTTATAATGAACCTCGAAGAAGTGGACGAGCTAGAAAAGAAAAGAATTTGGGTCCTGGTTTTATTAACTCTCAAGCTTTATCTTTTCTTGTTGAAGGAAATAGAGATAATGTGACTAATAAAATACCCATTTTATTTAATGTTGAGGATGATCCAAAAACATTTTCTGAAGCAATGGCTTCTTGAAATTCTGCCTTTTGGAAGGAAGCTGTTAATGATGAAATGGATTCCTTAATGGCAAATAAAACTTGGGTGTTATCATATTTACCTCCGGGTTCAAAGGCAGTCGGATGTAAATGGGTGTTTAAGATAAAACACAATACTGATGGGTCAATCCAAACTTTCAAAGCTAGACTCGTGGCACAAGGTTTTAGTCAACGAGAAGGTGTAGATTATTTTGACACGTATGCACCAGTAGCTAGAATTACATCTATCAGAGTACTTTTGGCTTTATTGTCAATATATATTCTACATGTACATCAAATGGATGTAAAAACAGCTTTTCTAAATGGTGATTTGGATGAAGAAGTGTACATGAGGCAGCGTTTTGTACTTCCTGGTACTGAAAACAAGGTATGTAAGTTAACTAAGTCTTTATATGGTTTAAAGCAAGCTCCTAAACAATGGCATGAAAAGTTTGATTATGCTATTCTATCTCATGGTTTTTTGCATAATTTAGCCGATAGATGCATATATTCCAAGTTTACTATTGATTACGGAGTCATAGTATGCCTTTATGTGGATGATATGCTAATTATTGGAACTAACATGAAAGGGGTAAATGAAACTAAGGCTTATCTGAGTTCTTGTTTTCAAATGAAAGATTTGAATGAAGTTGATACTATTTTGGGTATCGAGATTCGGAGAAATAGTGGGGGTTATTCCTTAAGTCAATGTCATTACATTCAAAAGATGCTTAACAAATTTAGTCATTTAAGGTTTAAGGAAGCAAATACTCCTTATGACAATTCTTGTAAGCTAAACAAGAATGTTGGTCGTGCAGTTGCACAACTTGAATATGCTAGCACAATAGGTAGCTTGATGTATGCAACTCACTCTACTAGAACTGATATTGCATTTGTTGTGTGTAAGCTATCTAGATTTACAAGTAATCCTAGTTTAGAACATTGGGAAGCAATTGGCAGAGTTTTTGGTTACTTGGAAAGGACTAAGAAGTTTGCTCTACATTATAGTAATTTTCTTGCAGTTCTAGAAGGTTACTCTGATGCTAGCTGGATCACTAGTGATAATGATAATAAATCAACTAGTGGTTGGATCTTTATGCTTGGTGGGGTGGAGCTGTTTCTTGGGCGTCAAAGAAACAAACGTGTATTACACACTCTACTATGGAGGCTGAGTTTATAGCCTTGGCAGCGGCAAGCAAAGAAGCAAAATGGCTGAGAAATATGTTATTGGATATAAAGTTGTGGCCACAACCGATGCCAGCCATTTCTTTGCATTGTGACAGTGAAGCTACATTGTTTAGAGCATATAATAAGATTTATAATGGGAAATCTAGACATATTAGTTTAAGACATGCATATGTAAGAGAGTTAATATCCGATGGAATAATAACTATTATATATGTAAGGTCTTGTAATAATTTAGCAGACCCATTCACAAAGGGGTTTCCGAGGGATATGGTTTTTGGAACAACTCGTGAAATGGGTTTGAGACCTATTGATTAGTCAACAACAATAGAAACCCAACCTTTATCTAAGATATTACTTAGTTAGAGGTTCAATGTGGTAACAACAAATTGTTGATATTTGACTAGGATCACATTAGTTTAAGTCATTAATGTCTAGTGTGGATTTTAGGGTGAGTTTTATACTCTTAATGTAATTCTTTGTAATGTAAGAATACACTTATGTGGATATAAGAAGTGGTGCCGCTTCTAACAAAAGTAAGGGTCAACTTGTGTAAATATTCATGAATCCAGGTTGAGCACATGGCCATAATGGTGCTTTTGTTTTATGAACATCTTTAGAAGACAAGTCTTGTGTGTAACTATTCTGATTATAACAAATAAAATCTTGGCTCAAACGCTATACGCCGCCATAGATTTTGTTATAGTTTTGAGTATCTTACACTAAATGAAAGTTCAAATAGAAAGATACTTTCATGTATGCAAGATTTGTGCGACTGAAGACTAAGTGGGGATTGTTGGATATAGTCTTCAATAGTGGGAAACTTTGTCCCACATAGGAAGAGGAGCTAATATGAGTGTGGTTTATAAGTCTTACTCTATTTGGTTTATCAAATAGGATTTGGGCTTGATTTTCTACAATTGTTAATGGATCAAAAGACAGCACTAGCACGTTGTGCGTGTGCGGTTTTCCAAAATCCGTTTTTTATTTATATACAGTGCACGGGGCGGTTTCTAATCCGTTTATGCGGTTTTTGAGTTTAAAATCTAAAATCTTATCCATTATGGATAAGATTTTCTAACAGTTTTTCTGTTACCCATAGTCCCTAAAAATATCTAACATCTTGTTAGAATTATGATTCCACTCTTTTTCTTATTTTCTCTTCGTCTCTTCAACTTCTGCAACAATATAGACGTTCATGGAGATTGTATGATTTGCTGTATCATTCATCTAGATTGGGTTAATCCTGGGAATAAATTAGCCATAACCTAACAGCATATAGTGGGGCTAATATTATTCTAAGGATAGTGATCTTAATCACATCCTAATCTATTTGTATTCCTATTTTCTGCTTTATTTTATAACAATAATTTGATGATTACTAGTGTTTGTATCTGTGATTGGGTGAATTTTTGTGGATAAATATCACAGTAATGCTGTTGCCAAGCAGGGATCATGCTTGTTAATTATGGGCAATGATGATCATCCTTTATGTCGAAGAATTTGATAAAAAATAGATGAAAATTATGTAGCAAATATGTGATTGCTTGTTACTAGAATATGTAATTGTTAGGGAAAATATGTCCAGACAAGGATTGGTCGATCAAGAACCGAACTACTTGAGAATTGTGAAAAGAGCACTTTCCAAGTTGATATTTCGACCTTATGCCTGGGTTACACGAAATTCAATATGGGATAAGACTCAAGAGAGCACTTTTGTTTTTAGGCACAAAAACGAGAACAAACTAGTTGGAGAATATTCAATGATTGTTCACAAACCCGTGTCTAAAAACATGAGCGTAAAAGATATTGATACTCATAAAAATAACCGAAATGATGATCATGGCTCAATTTTAGGAGTAGTGGACAGTTATAAAGTTGCACATTAAAAGTAGTGGACAGTTACGAAAAACTGCTTAATGGTAGTGGACAGTTATAAAACTGTTTTAACCGTTCCAGACATGAAGTCAGAGACGAGGAATCAGACCCCTTTTGGTCAAGGACGAGAGCCCCTCTGGTCTCACCAACCAGAGCCTCTAGTCTTATCAATCATAGCTTCTGGTCTTACCAACCAGAGCCAAGTCTTAGTAATCATAAGCAAGAACCAAAACCCCTCTGGTTAGTGGCAAGTCAGCAATCATAAGCAAGGAACCAGAGCCTTTGGTCTTACCAACCAGAGCCTTTGGTCCTTAAGCAAAAGAGGCAAGGCAGACCAGAGCCAGAACTCCTTCTGGACTTTAACAACCAGAGGCAAGGAACCAGAGCCTTTGTCCTTACCAGAGCCTCTAGTCCTTAACAACTAGACTCAAGGTCGTCCTTAATAGCCAGAGGCAAGGCCGTCTTTTGATTATTTTTCCACCACAATGCAAGGGGTGCTGCCCCTCAACTCCCAACAGGGTCATACTCGTCTTATAACAAGTGTGCACTCCGCACCTCCTAACTTGTATTAGAACACAGTATAAAGCCCCCTTAGAACTCGATGTTACTTCCAATTACACTTAAATGGCCTGGATCACCAACAAACCTCCCCCATTTTAGTGTAACCCATGAAATAACACATTAAAATGAACAAACCAAACTTGCACATAAATTAAAATATCAAATCGGTTGAATTTCCATGTTAGTATTTTACACATTTCAAATATTCAGGAATCAAGGTGTCCTAAGGATTGAACCCATCAACCCATTTGAATACCTGAAAATAAAATACATACAAGTTTACAATTTTCTTCCAACAAAATAAAATGACACTATTATAAAGTTGTGTGTCCTAATCCTCTCATGATTGCATAAAGGGCCAAGTCCCCAACCATGTTGAAGTGCGGCTACACTTCACAATCACATAGGTAATTCCTTTATTCATGTAGATACTTACATTTTATCAAAGGAATTATTAAGAATAAATTCAGCCTTTCAACTGTAGGACCGAACATTTAACCTGGGATGAAATCAAACATGTGATCCAAATCCAAAAGTGTGAGCTTTCCACATTGAATTCAGCCTCTAATGTCATATTAGAGGGGAATTGGGTGTCTCACCATTAAGGATTTAAATAGACTTTAAACACATCCTAATCACCGACTTGTGCACTAAGTCCCGGGCCAAGCTCTTTGTAAGATGGTCCTTATGATTTTCTTTCCACCACAATGCAAGGGGTGTTGCCCCTTAACTCCCAACAGGGTCATACTCGTCTTATAACAAGTGGGCACTCTGCACCTCTTGACTTGTATTAGAACACAGTATAAAGCCCCTTTAGAACTCGATGTTACTTCTAATTACACTTAAATAGCCTGATGACACTAAAATCACCAACAGTAATTAGAAAAAGAGGATAAAAATACAATGATGGTTGTGTGCATCAGCTGATTGCTTCTTGATGGGATCAAATAAAAATTTGACTCTTGGATGTGCTAAAGAACCATGGGCCTCCATTTTATGCCTTCACCAATCACCACTTGGCTATATGGGCTTCGGTTTGCTTATTTCTGACAAATCTTCTGTTATATGTTCTATTTTGATTTAAGTTTTATATTTAAAAATAGATTCACTTAGAAATTTTCTATACCGTTGTACTTTTTAGAACCAAGGCCATATTTTAATGAATTACAAACTTTTTGGAAAACTTGATATTAATAAAGTTTTAACATATAGTAGATGTACTTCACATTTGGAATATTAGTTTTCAAATGGAATTTGTATTTAGTTTTATCAAAGGATCCCCAAATTTCAGACACTAAACTTGACTTGTGTTGTTACAGGCCTGAAACAAAGCTTCTGAAGGAAATTGTCGATACCGTTTACAATGAACTAGATTGCAAAAAGGTTTATCTTCCACCCGATCTAATAGGGATGGACACTCGATATGAGAAGATTATTTCCTGGTTACATCAACCCAATCTCGAATTTTTAGCAATTTGCGGCATGGGAGGAAGTGGCAAGACAACGTTGGCAAAGTACATTTACAATTTAAATTGGAAAAGGTTTGAAAACATGAGTTTTATTGAAGACATTGGTAGTAGATGTAAAGGAACCCATGGTTTGCTTGAGCTACAAGAACAACTTCTCAAAGATATTTCAGGGGGTAGGAAGAGAAAAATACCAAGTGTTTCTCATGGTACATATAAGATTGAGGAGGCCTTACAAACAAAAAGCACACTAATTGTTCTTGATGGTATTGTTGAATATAGTGAGTTAGTTACTTTACTTGGAACTGGGAAGATTAATGCACTAAGCAAGATTATAATAACCACAGAAAATACAGTTAATTGGTTTAAATTTTCATCTCATAAGTGTGAACAATATAGGATGGAGTTATTGAATGAGGATGAATCATTAGAGCTTTTAAGTCATCATGCGTTTGGATCCAAAATCCCAGAGGAAGGTTTCAAGGAGCTTGCAGCACAAGCAGTAAGGTATTGTGAAGGAAATCCACTGGGTCTTTGTGTGTTGGGCTCCTCTCTATCCAATAGCAATACCATCTCACAGTGGAGAAGTCAATTGAAGTTACTGGAAAAAGATATTCATTCTCTAATCCAAGGTGTACTAATAAGGAGCTACATGTCATTGCAATTTGACTTTGAAAGAGAGCTGTTTTTGCATATTGCTTGTTTCTTTGTAGGCAAAGACAAGGATTACGTGGTAAAGATATTGGAGCCTGATTATTTTGCAGTATCTGGGATCAGTACCCTTATCAACAGATGCCTTCTTTCTGTTTCATCTAGCAATAAGTTGATGATGCATCGATTGCTTCAAGAGACAGGAAAAAACATAGTCTGTAAAGAATCATTTAAGCTTCCTGAGAAACGTAGTAGAGTTTGGCTGAGCACTGACTCTTATAAGATATTGAGAAAAAGAAAGGTAAGATGCTTCTTATGTGTATGTTTATGCCTAATTAATTACCCTTTCACACCCTCCTATCTTATCTAATTTTTTTAATATATTTCTTTCATCTTATTTCCTTTCAGGTTCAAAAACAATAGAAGGTCTAACACTTGACATGAATAAGCTAAAGGAAGAGGGGGCAGCGTCCAAGGTAATACAAAATAAGTAGAGGATGAATTTTTGGGTTCTGTTTTTATTTCTTATTTTGGGTTTAGATCTAATTTTTCATAATTAAGTATTTATTTTGGACTTTCTATTTATTTCATTTTTATATTTAAAAAGAAGATGGAAAGATGAAAAACACAGACGTTTGTTTATGTTCGAGAAGTTTATTTTTATAGGTTTGTTGGGTTTAAATGAGATGTGTGTTATTAAATGGTATAAACAACTTTTAAGTGGTACATGACATGCCCAAGGGCCACGTAACAGCAAAACTCGAATGTTACTAACTTGAGTATGACTTTTATGGACCCCATTTAACGTTAAGAGAGACAAGTCTGTAACTCTTTTATTTTCCTACAGACACCTTTCTTTTGTAGATTACTCTAAAATAAGTCTTGGTAAACGAGCAAGTCAATTATATTGGTAACGGTTGGGTATTAATAAAATTGTCTCGTTATATTTTGGAGCAAGTCAAATGGCACATTTATATGTTCTCAAAGGTATTTTCCTAGAGACCTACCTTTTGTAGTTTACTCTCAAGTACATCTTCATAAATGTGTAAGTCAATTATATTGGTAACGATTGGGTAGTAGTAAAATTGTCTCTTTATGTTGTAGAGCAAGTCAAATGGCACATTTATATGTTCTGAAAGGTGTTAAGTTTGGGTTTATAAGCAACAGAACTATGATAAAAGGGTTAATGAAGAACAGAACTACAAAAAGGTTTATTAATAAAAGGAATGTGTAACGAAATAAGAAATTGTAACATCAACTAAAATGATTATTTTGGCAACGTTCAATTCTAGCTTTCTTTTGCCATTGGAAAAGTATTATCAATCCGTTTCCTAATCCATTGGTTACATTAATGATTGTTAGGTTTTTATCTGTTCAGGCAAGTTCTTTTCAACTATAGTGTTTTCAATTTTTGCATTTGAAGAAGAATAATTGTTTCTTAATGATTAAAAGCTAGGAACAATAGTTGATAATTCAAAGTTGGAACATGCTGAGCTAAAAAATCAAACCCTTTGTCAAATTTTGTCCAAGAATGCAAGTTCGACGAACTTTGTTTTTAATTCTTTTGATAACTTTGAAGTATAAAAGTTGTTTTCCAATAAAATCACAAAGGAAAAGGATTACCATATAATTCACTATGTTCCTTTCTAGGTTATTTTCTTGTCAGGTTTCATTCCTTTTGAATATCTTAATGCTTAAAGATCCATTTATTTCTGAATATGATATACGCCTGCTAACTGTTTTCATGCTAAATCTGCAGTCATCAGACCTCACCACAGATGCACTTGAAAAGATGGAAAATTTAAAATTGCTCCAGCTAAATTATGTGGAACTCACCGGATCCCATGAAAATTTCTCAGAAGATCTAAGATGGCTCTGTTGGTTTGGATTCCATTTAAGAACTATACCCTCTGGCTTATCCATGGGAAACTTGGTGGCTTTAGATATGAGCTATAGCAACTTGGAAGTATTTGAACCACCCATGGTAAGTCATCCAATATCCTCTTTTTATCGACTGTCCTTTTAACTTCTCAGTTTTTGGTGGTCTTTATGTGGATGTACATTGCTAAATAAATGAAGTTACTTTTGTAACAGGTTCTTCAATCACTACAGATTTTAAACTTTAAAGATTCGCACAATCTATTGGAAATCCGAAACATCTCCATGATCCCTCATCTTGAGACTTTAGTTCTTTGGAACTGTCACAGTCTGGTTCATGTTTGTGAAACCATTACAGAGCTTACTAGTCTTGCTCTATTGAACATGACTGGATGTAAACACTTGTGCACGAGGGAGCAGATAAATGTGTTAGAAGAGATAAAAGCTTCTACTTCTGGTGGACAAGTTACAAAACAGCCTCCCTTTTCCTTCCCACATTCATTACAACGGTTATTTCTCAAAGACTGCAATCTTGATTGTACTGATTCTTTTCCTCTGAGTTTCAGTGTTCAACCATTTTTGCAGTACTTGAATTTAAGTAACAGTTTTTTTGAGTTCCTGCCTTGTTATGATCATCTTAAAAGTCTTCGGATCCTTGACTTGAGTAGGAAGAATTTAAATAATGAATATGAATATTATTCAGATTTTGAGGTTTCTGCTCAAGACTTAAATGGCTTCTATGTCTGCCGAGCACACTTGCAGAGTTGTACGTGTATTATTGTGAGTCACTGGAGAAAATAACTTTCCAATCAGCTCAATTCAAGTTGCAAGAGTTGGCCTATGAAGGTTGTAGTAATTTATATGAAATTGAAGGCCTCCTCAAATTGGTACCAATAGCCAAACTAGATGAAACTGGTTTGGGACATTTGAAGTGGCTAAAGCAATATCAAAGTCATGAGGTGCTCCTCGTTGGTGATGATGAGCTCACCAAGGGCAGAAGTTCAAAAGTCCAGGTTTGTTGTTCTTCTCTCAAATACGCATGCATCAGCACACGCAAACACATCGACATACCACCTACAAACTGATCATATATGAATGACTGAACTCACTTGCTTGTGCGGCACAGATGTTGTATGAATTCGATATAATGAGCACATCTCTGCCAAACATAAAGGATTCAAACATGAGAGCTGAGTATATATCAGAATCATCATCTTTGTCATTTGATGTGCCTTCGTGCCCCAAGAATTGGAGACTCAAAGGATTAAATGTAACTTTCAAATACACATTATCAGGTGATGATTGGACATGGTTTGCTAAAATCAGTACGACTAATGGTGTTGACTTGATGTACAACCCCAAAGTCTTTGGTAAACCTAGATTTGGTGCAGTTGGTATATGGTTAGGCTATTGGCCTATCGGGAATATGTTAGATGTTGGAGATAAAGTTAACGTGTCTATTGATGTGATGAGTGGACTGGAGGTACATGAATGTGGTGCAAGTCTTGTGTACACTGATGATAAAATAGCTGAGGAAACCGTGGAAAATAACATGGGAGGGGAAAATTTTCTTGGAGGAGATTTGTCTGGATTTCAACTAAGCACAAGAGCATATTATCTTTGTCGGCGTGATTTGTTTGAGTTGATGGAGGTTGGGAGACTGACACCTGATCGGTTTGGGGTTTTATTTGGTGATAACATTGACTATACAGGTATGTCCCTCTTGTCAAGCTAATTCTAGCTGTATGTAATTGAATAATTGCTGCAAATAGAGAAATTCCCTCTTATCACACTTTGTTACAGAGGTTCGAGGATGGAGAATGACTGGTCGACCTAAGCAGTTGAATCCATCATTTTCAGAGTTGAAAACTGTTGGATGCATTATCCATGGTCCTGAGTTGGTAAATGTGCTTTGTACTATTTCTATTTTGGCATGATTATTATACGAATATGATGAAGGGCCTAAATATAATCTAGTAATTTAGTACAAGATGAATAGGACCTTACCGATTCGGTATGATAAGAACAATTCTCATTGCTCTCTATTTTACCAACTCAAGGAGGGCATGTAATACGTCTATGATTCAAGTACAATTTATATATTTCTCAAATCCCCTTTACCATTGTGCTTTTTGGGAATGATACTTTTAAGTTTGATAGAGATGTTTCTTTTATGTATTCTTTCTCAAGTATCACATGGATTCACGTAAGTAAATAGATTAACTAAATCATTAGAATCTACTTAAATGTCTTGGTACTTGATATTAAATTTTGTTTTAAATAATAGAGTTCTGCTAAACTGGCTCTGTTGTTAATGAAAAACAAACAGGAAGAGATTTACAATATCGCAGAGATGTCTGAATCATCTTTGGTAGATAAAACTGTTGAGTTCACATCAAGCATACTCGGGGAGACGATGAAATCTGGGACTACATCTGCAGTTAGTGATGCAGCAGCAAAGGTAATTAAATATTTAGTAGCTTTAGAGAAATCGACAGAAAATTAATGAAATTTCACTTTAGAACTTGTTTTCCCCTTATCTGTTCTAAGATGTCCCATCTTGAATACATAATTTTGCTATTGTTGCTCTGGTGATTTAATTATTCAGGAGAAAAGTGAGAGTTACAATCTAGAGACTATGGGCATGTCTAAAGCATTTGTTTCTGAGGAGATTACGGAATCTGCTTCAATCCCACATGACGTGAAATCAAAATCAGTGGTTACAAATAAAGTTACTAGAAAGGTAATTCAAATTCAACATTAATCTTATTAGATAACATGAAAGAACATAAACATCCTATTGCCATTCTACTAATTCTAGCATCTGTGTTTCCACAAGAAGTTTGAGGATATACTTCCTGGATCTTTGGTCTAAACTTCATTTTGTATATAGGATGTCTGAGTTGTAATTCATCATCATCATCATCAGTAATAATGATACGATCAACATAGAACACCAATACAATCCTATCACCATCTGCATCGAATACCAATAGGATCATCTTCTCATCTACATATAACACCAAAACAATCCTCTTACCATGCTGTTGTCGTAAAAACACAGAAAGTTTATATCACTAGAAGAAGATTTGTAATTCCTCTTCAAATACTATTATCTTATCCTATTTCTTTGATAATTATTTTGCACATTTCAGTTCGTGATGAAAGTGAAGTTAAGAAACACTGATCCACATAGGGGGGTGATGAAGCTAGGTGTGCTTGCAGGCGTCCAGTCTATTGATTATCAAGAAGGGATTCTAACCGTCACCGGGGATGTTGATTTTACGGAACTGGTAAAGCGTGTGGGGAAGATTGCGCTACATGCAGAATTAATATATTTTGGACCCGCAGAAGAACCCAATAAAGGAGTTGTACTTGGTAAAAAACCCGCAGAAGAACACAAAACAGGAGATGTACTTGCTACAGGACTTCCATATGAAACCATGACAAGAGACGAATCAACAGGACTTCCATATGAAACCAAGACAACAGAGGAACAAATTCTTGTTCCCGACATCATGAATGCAAGGTAACAGCAGCACATGATTCTGCACAAAGTTGGGTTTCAAGGGAGTCGGCTACAGTACAGAAATGAGGGAGTATGGCATGGCATATTGACATTTAGTTTCATCATTTCCTTGCACTCCATGAAAATCACAATTTCTTTTTCACTGGTCTATCGCAACAATTACATTTCCCCGGATGTATGAATACTTGCCATTTCAACTACAAGACTGGTGCTGATTGGTTTGAGCTTGGCTCCAGAGTTCAAAAGTATAAGGAGGTTCCAGGTTCAAATCCAATGAGAAATAAAAATCCCCTTGTGGCCATGGAGGTTCAAATGCGGTGACTCCCGGCTATCTGCAAAACAGGTGGTCACCTTGGATTAGTCGGCTTGCATAGCGGGTTGGATATCCAGGTTAATCAAAAAAAATAAAATACTTGTCATTTCTTTGTATATGGTCATTACAAATGCATCAATGATACTCCCACCTAGGCATAGGAATGGCAATGGGCCTGGTTCGGGCCGGTCATTGGCGTCCCCGTCCCCGAAACTGATAACTAAAACCTTCCCTGTAACCGTCTCGATCTCCGTTGGGGAACCCATTAAGAGTAAAAATCCTTTTTTTCCCGTTCACCGTTGGTTATAACCGAACCCGGAACCGATCTAAAAAAATTACAATATATTAATTTTCACAACTACAAGTTAATTACAATTTTTTTAAAGATGCAAGTTTAAATGTCTCAGAAATAATCGAATTAATTACAAATAATATATCAGATTACAATATAAAAGTAAACAAAAATTCAAACATCATACAACTAGCATTACGATTCCACGGCTCGACATTACCATATGAAATTCGGGTCCAAAAGTTCTTCTCATCCATGGTATGTTACCCCTTGCTCGTTTCACTTGTTGCTTCCAACTCGAATCTATGCTGTAATGAAGTTTTTTCTGTTCTTTTTGTTTGTTTGATCATCAATAATTGGAGGTTCATCCTTTTGGTTAATTTGTTCAAATTAATTAGCATTAAGAGCTCTACACCATATTCTTCAAGATGGAGAATCAAAAATTAAAATATTAAAAAATGATTTATATTCAACTCCGACAACTTTATCATTTTGGATATTTTGAAGAATCTGTTAGAGGCGTTAAATCAAAACACAATTTTCTTCCTCATTTCTTTCAACGTCAAATTGTCAATGTCCCCTCTCTTCATCGATTCCTCCACCATCTCATTGCATGCCTGACGTCTTTATGCTCCTGCAGTTGCCGCCTTACGAAATCCACCACATTCTGGTTCTTGAAGATGTCCCAAATCCCATCGTTTCCGATGATCAACTTTTTCGTTACATAACACTCAAGGTTTCTGGAATGAATATCATCGGTTAACAACTGTTATAAGGAACTAATCAATTTTTGGACAAACTGAAAAGACCTGTAATTTTTTTTTAAATTTTTAGTAAATCACGTCTTTTTTTCATCTTTTCTTTTTTCACGTCTTTTTAAAAAAAAAATTACTCCTACATCTGCAATTAGAAATCAAATTTCATATATTAAAATGCATATTAAATAAAAGAAATTATACTTATTTTAAAGAATTATTAAATTGATAAAATTATTTTTGTATTAGAAGTTCTCAATTTTAGAAAATCAAAGAAGTTCACGTGTATTTTTGGTTGGGCAACACCAAATATCTGATGTTAAGTACGGTTAATACGTGATAGTTATATATTAAAAAAATTTCGTTAGAAATAATAATTATGTTTTAAAAACTAAAATATTGTGAGACATTATTAAATTAAATCATCAATAACTGTGAATAAACTAAAACAATTAAATAAATATAATAATCAAAATATTATTAAAGACGTAATAGCTTAAAGGATTTTATATCGTTTTTGAATTTAAAAAAGTCAGTATATAAAATTTTCTATATTTTTCGACAACAAACGTTTTTTTTTCTTTTTTTTTATTAACCTGGATATCCAACCCGCTATGCGAGCCAACTAATCTTAGAACGACCACCTTGCTTTGCAAATAGCCCGGAGTCACCGCATTTAAACCTCCGTGGCCACAGGGGTATTTTTATTCCTCATTGGATTTGAACCTGGGACCTCCTAGTACTTTTGACCTTTTAAGTCAAGCTCAAACCAATCAGACACCACCCTTGTGGTTAAACGTTTTCTTTATAGTTGCTCGTGTAATTACTTATTATTCTTGTAGGATTTTGGCAATAGTTTTTCTTAATTATTTGAATAATTGAGGTTTTTTAATCTTATAATTTGTATTTTTAGTTTGTTATTATTTTAATTATTTCTAATTTGACTATATATTAATAATCTCACGTTACCGATACTTAATTTTCAATATTTAACTTGCATATATCAATGTTGAACCCAAAAGATATGCGAATTTCTCTTGAATTCTTTTCATTTTCTAAACTTGAGATTTTCTAACGAAACAATCATTTTGTCAATAATAAAAAGTTTTTTATCTAAAAATACACTTATTGTAACACCACATTTCATATTTGCATAGAACATACAAATTTCATATAACATGAAATTCAAATATTACACACTGGTCCCAAATGTATACATATTACTATATAAGCTACAAACTTTTTGCTCACAAATACAAAGTACATGACTTGAATATAACAATTCTCAAGTGCATATATAAACTCAGCTTTCCAAAAATCTAAAGTTGTATGTAAAGCAATAACAATTCTCTTCACATCTTTCATTTCCCTTTACCTTCCATATAAGTCCGGCCTGTAATGTACATTTTTTAAAACAAAATCAGGGTTAGACCATAAGGTTTAGTGAGTAATCCCCTTTTTGGAAAGTCAATCTTTACAAAGATAACATGTAAATAACATTTATTGCATCAAACCTCTTTTTTTGTCGCATCATATAGATGAGACAAACCCATTTCATCGCATCAAATTTAATAACACCTTTTTGTCTCATTAAACACATGATATGTCAAACTTGTCGCATCCCATTGATGCGATATCACAATTTCCTCTCACCATTCAGATGCAATAAGACATTTCCTTGCATCGTTCAGATGCGATAACTCCCTTTTTGTCATATCACACACATGCGATAACTCAAACTCCTCGCATCATTCAGATGCGATAACTTCATTTTACTCAAGGATGCGATAAAATAACATTTTGGACCCATCCAAAAAACTTCATCCCATGAGACACATGCGATAAAAATCAATCCCATCGCATCATAGAGATGCGATAACAATAACCCATGATTAAAAGATCATTATTTACAGAAATTGACTATGTCACCCTTATCCCAATATATCCAACTCCTGATTGTCATCCTTATTATAAAATATACACGGCTCCGGTTTATATCTCCCTTATTACAAAATATATTCAGCTCCTGATTATGTCATTCTTATTACAATCAATTGATAATAACATATCAAAACCCAAATTTATGCTAACACATAGTACATAATAGTTTTGAGAACACCCCAAATACGAAACCATAAGGTTCCTTATCAAAAGCAAATGAAATGATGTTTTTAAAGTAAAAAAAACTCACCTTGTAACACAAAGAGATGGAAGACTTTATCAGGCAACAAATAATCAGATAAAATCATGTAAACGAATTCTTCTTCTTTTATGTTTCTGTTTTCTTCGAACCGGGAACAACTCACCAACATTCTTATCTTTTTTCGAAGAATAGAAAGAAGAGAAATTTAAAACACACACACAAAAACACAAAAACACACACACACACACACACACACATATATATATATATATAGGAGCGTTTAAATGAAAACTTGACCCATTTGTGTAAATCGTGTAAACCAATCTCATTCGTCCATTTTCTTGATCAATGGCCTAGATTATATTATTTTATTTTAGGAAATTAAAAATTAAAAAATAATCAATATTCATTTTATTTAAGAAAAAAGGGTAGAATCGGTATTCATATCAAAAGCCCTCGTTTCCTATTTCCAAATACTCCCATTGTATTTTAGGAAATTAATATTCATTATTTTATTTTAGAAAATTAATATTCATTATTTTATTTTAGCATGTTCATTATGAAATTATTTTTTCAAATACTCCCATTGCATATGAGTTAATTTTCTAAAAGAACAAATTCCATTACACACCCGTTTTATTTCATTCTACAAACTAAACGGATTAATTTTAAATACAATGCAACTGTGCTCACTACGAAA